AAGTTTCAGAGGTTTCAAAGATTGAAAGGACTGACACTCAGTGTGGCAATCGATTGGATAAGTTGAAGAAGAAGTATAAGAAGGAGAAGGAGGCTATGCTGGCAGAGATTGGTGCCAACCTCTAGCAAATGGGTTTATTTCAGGAAGATGGATATGTTAATGTCAACTCCTCCGCAGCAGGGTGGACTGGCTTGTGGCTTGGACTCGGGTGAGTCTGTATTCGTCAACCCTAGGGTTTGCTCAAGCTGTGCAAATGGTATGGACGAAATGAGAGATAGTCCAGCAAATTCAGAATCTGCTGATAGCGATGAGGACATCTCTGATGGACTGCCACCTAAAAAGAGAAGATTTGGAAGGCAATATGACGAAGGTTCTTCATTCCGATTGCTTGCAAAATCAATCCATAAATTCAGCAATATATATGAAAAGATCGAGAATAGTAAAAGACAGCAAATGTTGGAATTAGAGAAGGTAAGAATGATTTCCATAGGGAGTTGGAAATGCAGAAGAGGCAGATCATGGAAAGTGCTCGAGCTGAAATTGCAAAAATTCAGCATGGTGACGAAGAGGATAATGATGTCTCTGCCACTAATGCCAGCAGGTAATGCATGCAAAATCCAGTTATCTTCACCATTTCAATTCGCTGTTGACTGCTACATGTTGTATAATATGTTGGAGCCTCTTCCTAGATGCTATTCTGAGTTAGAATTTTTAAATTTTTTAACAGACATTCTCATTTTTACAACCCTAACGGTTATATTTGATGTCGCCAACAGTCAATCTTGAAACATGCTATCCAATTAAAGTAACATCATTTGTTTTCAACAAGGGCAAGTTGATCACTTGATTACGTTTTAGGTTTCTAAATTTTAATCCATGATAATTAGCGGTGCAGTCTCTTTTACATTATCTAGTCTGGGGCAAAATTAAGGTTGCTCCACAATCCACCATTAGCATGGGCAACAGATTGGTTTGAGTCGGTCAGTTTTCAAGTTTTTTCAACTTTTTCCTAGCCGTTTTCAGCATTTGTTCTTAACTACTTTCAAACAATCAACTTAAGGCGAGGCCACAAGACAAATGTACCGGAGTAGAAAGAGGGCAGAAACCTAGTTCTTTTCAGCCAGATCAATGCCATCGAATTTGACATCATCTGACATTGTTGTTCATATGAACTATTAATGCAATGAGCCAGCCGATCAGTCGAAGATACATGCATATGCTCATTCAGTGGATCTGGAATGTTGTTTGAAAAGAATACAGTCCCACATAATTAGCCACCATAAACTCTTGTGCTGAACTAGAATGTATTGTTGTCATTAGGGTTGCACATAATTCGGATTTCAATCCGATCCGGATCGGTTTTTATCCGATCCGGTTTTTTCCCATAGAAAAAAAACCGGTTTATAAAATAATCGGTTCGGTTTCTAACCGGTTTGGAGGTCCGGATATCCTAACCGGTGTAATCGGTTTCGGTTTTAAAAAAACCGGTTATAAAAAAACCGATTTTAATATTCCAGATTGCTCATAGGGAACCAATTCCCCCCCCCCAAGGGGGTACCGATTCCTCACTGAATGGTTTGGCTCCGAGATTTCCAGAATGCTCGGAGGGAACCGATTCCCCCATAGGAGTACCGATTCCCCCCTATTCAACGGTCGAAATATTTGAATTTTACATTTAGGGAACCGATTCCCTATGAGAGGAAACCGATTCCCTATGAGAGGGTACCGATTCCCCCATGCTCCAAGCATTTTTATTAAATGTTTTCACACTTAAACGGCTATATTATCTTCATTAATTATCACTAACGTTCAGAAGTGATTCAAGGTGTATTTAAGCAAGCTTAGAAGCCATTGATCAAAGACAAGAAACATCAAGCAACTAGAATCAAGAGATAATCAAAGAGAAAGCATCAAACCTTAAGTTCGATAAATTCAAATACTTAATTGAAATACTTAATTAACTCAACATAATTGAATTACTTAAATACTTCCAAGTTTGATAAATTCAAATACTTAAAAACTTTCAAGTTCGATAAATTCAAATACTTAAAAACTTCAAGTTCGATAATTGAAACAAAGTTTACGATAATTGAAATAAAGTTATAAAATAAACTACATTGCCATCTCTTCTTCATCATCTTCGCCTTCTTCGTTTGGAGGGGATATTCCAAGTTCGACTTCTTCAATGTGTAAGTTTGCTTCCAAATCGGCATCAATTGCATCTTCTAGGGTGGTGATATATTGCTTACGAGCCGTTCCATCCAAATAATCCTTTAAACAAATGCATACTTCCACCGACTCGGGACTTAGTCTTGATCTCCGTTGTGATATAACCCTGCCACTAACAGAAAAAGCGGATTCCGAAGCTACCGTAGAAGCTTGGACGGTTAGTAAATCACGGGCCATGGCGGCTAGAATCGGAAATTGTGCTTCCTTTTCTTTCCACCAAGCCAAAATATCCAAACTTTCAAACTCTTCAAATGTCATTTTTAATAGAAAATCGCATGACATGTAATTTCCCAACTCGCTACTTGGGGTGGTAGTACGTGATCGTTTGGATTGGGAATTTACAAGAGTGTTAAAAAGATTCAAATTTATGTTACTTGGACGTCTACTAGATGATTCTGCATTCATTCTCATTTGATCGTGTATTACACTACTTGATCTGTATTTAGTTAAATAAATTGCAAACATGTCTCGAAAACATTTGTTAAAATAATTTATTTGGTTTTGGACAAAGTTGGGTTCATCATCGGTTAGATTAAAAGAAAACGCAATTTGTTCAATTAGTGTTTCAACCCCACCAACATTTAACGTTGGGTTTAAAGCGGCGGCACAAGTAAAAATGGGGGGAATTTCCTTAAAATATTTTAAAAGTTTTTCCTTCATTGCAAAGCCAATTTCTTGAAAAACTTCGGTTTCAAATTCAAAGTCATTTAGTCGGGTAGCCAACAAAAATATTTGATTAAGAACCAACGGGCTAGTAGGGTAATAAACACCGGATAAAAAAGTTGTTGCATTTTTAAAAACCTCAAGCAAATCGGTTATTTTGGTTATAGTTTCCCAACTCGAATCCGGATAAATGTTTGGGACATGACCCCTCTCGAAAAGCCGATCGTGAAATGTTTGCAATGTTTCCCTTTGCCTTAAGGCCTTAAGGCAGTATGCATCATCATCCAAGTTGAGTTCCAACGAGTTGGACAATCCAAATTAGGACCCAAAGCTTTTTTATTAACAGACTTACAAAATCGTTTATAATCATTTAGTCTTTTATTGTTGTTACAAAGAATCGATTTTATCATTGTTTTAAATTCTAATCTAATTGGCTCAATAACCTCCAAACCGGCTTGCACGGATAAATTAATTATGTGTGCAACGCAACGGGTATGAAAAAACGCACCGTCTAAAATCGGTGAAAGTAATATTTTCAATCTTGGAACCGCGTTTGTATTATTCGATGCATTATCAAAGGATATAGAAAAAACTTTATTTTCTAATTTATAAAGACAAATTACCCGTTTTAAAAGTGTAAATAAATTAGCACCGGTATGTGACTCACCGAATAATTCAAACGCGATTGTTCTTTTCATCATTTGCCAATTATCTTGATCTAACCAATGTGACGTAACGGCTAAAAAAGAATTTCCGGTATTATGAGGGGAACTCCAAACGTCACATGTAAGCGACACACCATAACGGTGTTCTTGGAATCCTAAAATAATTTTTTCCCTCGCCGTACGCCACATTTTTATAGCATCTCTTCTAAGGGTAGTACGACTTACTTGAGTATAACGTGGTTGCATTAGTTGTTGAATTGTTGTCGTGAAATTTTCATCATCAAAGTGGTCGAACGGCAATGCTTTTGTAATCACGAACTTTGTAAACGCTTCTCGTAATTTTTCGTTGTCGTAAACAAAAACACCACCTTGCGGTGTAAGATTCGATTGACTAGGATCCAATCTTGAGCGAAGTGCCTTGCATGTCTTCTAAGGGTAGTACGACTTACTTGAGTATAACGTGGTTGCATTAGTTGTTGAATTGTTGTCGTGAAATCTTCATCATCAAAGTGGTCGAACGGCAATACTTTTGTAATCACGAACTTTGTAAACGCTTCTCGTAATTTTTCGTTGTCGTAAACAAAAACACCACCTTGCGGTGTAAGATTCGATTGACTAGGATCCGATCTTGAGCGAAGTGCCTTGCATGATTTTGTCAAATGGTTCTTCAACGTTGTGTTTCCTTCCGATGCAAGAAACTTTAGACAAAGTTTACAACGCGCCCTCCTCGAGTCATTTGACATCTCACATAAATCGTAGTGATCCCAAATATCTTTGTTTCGAGTGTGTTCGATCACTCTCACGACTTCAAGGTTTTCCCCGACGGAAGATTCAGCAGTGTTACTCATGATGAACAAAAAATTACAAAACTAAGATTTGAGAGATGTTTAAATGTTGTGTAATAAGATTTGAGAAAGTTGTAATCAACCAAATACATCCCCAACCTATTTATACATGTTTAGGGTGGTAAAATAGTAATTTTTTAAAGAAAAAAACGGTCAAAAATGGTCACAAACGGCTATATTAACGGCTAGTTTTTTTTAACCGGTAAAAAAACCGGTCTGGGTTTTTTTCTCCAAATCGGTTAAAATAACCGGTTTAAAAAAATCCGATCCGGTTAAAAAAAACCAATTTTTCCCAAATCCGGTTTCGGATATTTTTTTCGCAAAATCGGATATTCGAATTTTTTGTGCACCCCTAGTTGTCATCACCAAAATGCCCGACAGGATTGATAGTTATTGGTGAGAATGTGAAGACTTGATGGTTTGCTTTCACTTGAGGATCGAATTTACAGTTTGAAGAGTTTCCTGAAATGTATATGAAAGAACTATTGTCCTAATCAGCGGATGAATCTTAAGACATAACATTAAACACAAAAATAATGACATCGTATCCAGAATTGAAGTTCCCATGATAGATCCAAAATGAGCCAACACTTGAAACCCGCTTAAAAGTGTAAAATTTAGCCTCTCACTAATATTAAGATATTAGCAAGGAAGACTAATTAGCAGTTTCCTTAAAAACCCCGATTCTGAAGACCCACTCTTAAATAACAACAAATCTCCGCGACTTTGCAAAGAGAAGGCTTGACAAAACGAAAAAGATGATCCAAACAACGCAGACTTCTCCATCAGCCTACCCAAGAAATGGTGTCAAGGGTCTTCCAAAATATTCGTTATACCATATATTTTGGCCGCGTACATAAATCATCACAAGACAGTCGGCACAATAATTTAGGCAGCGCTAGAAGTAGTCTCCGATTTGTCAGTTTCCATTGGTTCTGAAGAAGCTGGAGGTGCCTCACCACCGCCTGCTGCTGTACTCTCACTCGGGTTCACATTGGGATTATGACTTGCATTCACGTTGGCATCTGTGCCATCTGTACCCTCTGACTGAGCCTCACTTCCCTGAGGTGTGGTTGGTAGTGTTTCAGGCGAGACTGGTTTAGCCGGTTTGGGTTTAGTCATTATTGGTCTGCAAAACCTGTTTAAAGCAAAGTTCAATATTTTAGCATCATGTATGAATAAAACAAGAATCTACACAACCTTAAGAAGGTGAAATAGTGGGTACCTGTCTAGTGCTTCACCTTTCTTTCTCGCATCGGCTGACAAAAGAACCGGAGTGGCATTCTTGGGAAGTTGATCCTGCTGCTGTTTTTTCTCTCTTAGCCAGGCCTCAGCTTCCGCACACTCAATAATAACCTATAGTATACCACAAGAATTTCAATGTCAGCAATAGAAGGGAGTCGAGTAGAGTAGATAGATAGAGAGCGAGAGAAAGAGAGAACTATTACCTTTTGCTTCTCTTCAAGTTCAATGTGATCGAACTTGGGATCACTTGACATGGCCGCCTCTCTGTAACTGTTAATACAGTAAGCAAGCTGATCAATGACAGATCCCCTCTCAGCATATTCTTTGTAACGCTCTTCAATGGGATCCCCTTGCTGTAATTAAGACTCCTGTCAGATGATCAATTCATACACTCAACCTAAAAGATCACAGGAAGAACAAGATTTACCTTCTTAAGCTCTTCAAGCTTGGCAACATAGACACCCTTCGTTTCATCCTCTCCATCTTCATATAGCCAATCCTCTGTTTCCTGAAGCTTAGTAATGAACTCTTCCTTGTCCAGAGCAGTGACAAAATCATGGTATTTGTCACTAAGCTGAAGACACCATCGTAAAACTTAGTTGTAAGATCATACCAGGCAAGTTACAATTCTAGCATATGAGATGAAGGCAATTTACCTTATTCCTCATATCATACACATAAGCCTCGACAGCATTCTTTTTATCCTTTGTTTCTTCCATAACCCTATCTTGCAAAGCCATTTCAAACTCCTTCTCTACTGCTTTTTGAACATCTGCAGGCAACATTGCACCATACACCAACTCCGCCACTGGGACATTTGTTTTCTTCACCTTTTTCTTGGGAGCCTCAATCTATATGACAGGCAGAACATATGATAAATTATTCCATACAAAAACAAATTACACAGGCTCCAAAAATATTCCATATATGAAACCACTACACCACAAGTATAAAGAATAGGAGTAAGCCCCTAAATGCTATATAATCGATCCTAGCAATTCATGCATATAGCATGCAGACCAAAAATACCTACTTTGGTATCAGTTTCCATTTGTGAAGACTTGTCCCCAGACTCATGAACACCATTTTCAACCCCAGCTGCATCAGCTGTACCCTTGGCGTCTTGCATGTTAACATCCGTCTCATTGGCACTGGGGGCAGCAGTATCTTTAGGTGCGTAATCAGTTTCCATCTTAGCATCTTCTTTACCCGGCTCTTTTGAAACTGGAACTGGGACTTCAACGTCCTCCTCTTCCAAGAGCTAAAAACAAATGAAAGTAGTCAGGAAAGAGCAAAAACCATTTGCCTTTCAGCATAATTAATAGTTAAAAAGTTGATTCACAGAAACTTACTGTTGCCGATTCAAGGGATACAATCCCATGCAAATTCATTCTAGCTTTGACCTTCAACTTAGGTCGATCACTTCTTATTGTTGGGAAAGGACCAATCTGCCAATAAAAAATTCCACAAATTATCTCTCAAATCAGAAATTGAGAAAGAAATTATGTAACAGACAACAGACACATAAACAGAAGCAAGAAATTAAAAGAAAAAAAGAAGATGATTAGGTCAAGGTTTGAACTTAGAAAAATAGTTACCGTGTAAGTACTGATCTTTGGTGGGACCTGCAAATCACTTCCATCAGAATATTGTACATCAATGCCAAAAGTACTTGTCTTATGGAATGTCACAGCCTTGACACTGGGTATCGGATTTCCTTTTGGGAAAACCAATTGTTGTTGTTCAGCTCCTCCGTTCTGAGCATCAGCTGCAGATCCTTTCCATGATAGCGAAATTGGGAAAGGGAAGCTCTCATTGACCTTCAAACAAAATAAATCAAATGGTGAACTATCTTCAAATGTAGCAAAGAAAAAGAAAAGGCAATGACACAAAAATGACAATAGGACACGGATAATGAGATGGAGAAAGTGAGCCACAAAGGATGCTCCAGAAAAAAATCGCAGCATCAATTCCATCTCCAAGACAATAAATAAAAATTGGCTACAAATTATACTATCATGCATAACAGCTTAGAAACATGTACGTAGTACATGATAAACCCAAAGCTGAGATAAAATTCAATACACGGAAATTTATGATAACGAGTTAATAACAGTAAATAATTACCTGAAATTCCCGAACTTTGAATGTGGGACTGAGAATTGCACATTGCAAAGCACATCCTCTGGCAACACATTCACTAGCATTCATTGTGCGTCTTGGTTCTTTACCAAAGAACTCAGTGAGAATTTTTAACATAGAAGGAACACGAGAGGCTGAACCAATGATCTCAACCATGTGAACTTCCTCAACTGCAAGTCCGGCATCAGCAAGAGCCTTCTCTAATGGTCTCTTCACACGTTGCAAAATCGGAACACTGATCTGCTCAAGCTCCTCTCTCTTAATGAAACCCCTAACATCTTTCTCATCCATAAGGCACTCAATATTCAAAGGTGCTTCAGGATTGGCACTCAGTACCTTCTTCAGCTTCTCACAAGCAGCTCGAAGCCTAGTACAAGCTCTTGCATTCTGGAATACATCAATCTTGTATTCCTCTTTAAATTTTGCAGCAAAGTGATGAAATAAAACTTCATCAAAATCTCTACCACCCAAAGAGCGGTTAAATGAATGAGCCAAAACCTTGAGTTGGCCCTTCTTGAATCCAGCAATACAAACTTGCATGCTCGCATGTCCAATATCAACAAAGGCAACATTTAATTGGTCATTTTCAGGTAAATCGGTCTTGTAGATACCATAAGCCAATGCAGTTGCAGTAGTTTCATGAATCAAGCGAAGAGGGTGCAAGCCTGCAATTGTGGCTGCGTCTAAAACTGCCCTTCTTTGAAGATCAGTGAAATATACAGGAATCCCAATGCAGCAATCCACCACTGCTGCATTTAAGTTCTTCTCAGCTATGCTTTTCAAATTAGACAAAAGCATCCCCAACAACTGAGTTGGGGTAAAAGTTCTCATATCACCTAGATAATGAGCATGAATCAAAGGATATCCATCAGGACCCTCAGTGACATTGAAGGGCAGTGACTTGAGATCCCTTTGCAACTCAGGATCTGAGAACTGACGACCAATCAACCGCTTTATCTGAGAAATTGAATTTTTAGGGTTCATTGTAGAAGATGCTGCCCCTGCAGTACCAATGAATCTCTGCTTCTCACCAAAGCATACAATAGCTGGAGTTTCACGCTTTGATTCATCATTAAGAACAACATCAATTCCTCTCTGCCTTGCAACAGCAACAATGCAGTTCTCGTTGCCAAAATCAAACCCAACAACACTCATCTTCAGCAGCAACTAAAACCAATTTACTTATAAAATAAAATAGATCTGCACTAATGAAACAAATAACAATACCATCATGCATAATATCAACAAACGAAAGAAGAAAAACAGTTTAGCATAGTCAACAAAGTTCTAATATAATATCCATTATGGTAATGTAAACATATTCTTGTTTGATACGAGGAAAACATTGAGGTTCAAGATTCTGTGTTTTACTTCAAAGGACTAGAGCTCATGGGAACAGTTCTGTTTAACAGGATCCAACCAACATTTCCGGTTCCAGTTAAAGACACCGAACCCATCATTCATGCTAGAACACACCACACAAGGGGACATTGCAGATGCAGATATACAAATGCATTTGAAGTTAACCAAACATTTTATTTCAAAGAAAAAAACAGTTCCAATATTGCTTCTCATACATGGAACTTCTACACTCAGATTCCAACTCAAGAATATTAATCCTCAAAATAAAATAATCAAAGGATGAAAAATCAGAATCACATTCAGATCAACCTATTAATAAGCTAATTCTACACTTAACTAAATAAAAAAAACTATAAATCAACAACTGCTTCCACCTGAATCACTACAAACAGCTAAATCTGTCTACGGAGAAACAACAGACGATGCGAAAAGCATCGATGGAAAAAAAACCCACCGAATCTGAGTCGAAAAGCATACAGATCTATAAGCTCCGGACGGAGAAAAGGAGATAATAACACAGAGAAAAAAAATCAACGAAGTTTCAAAGAGCGAAACAGAAGGACCGTACCTTTCAGGGAAGATTGGAGGCAAAAGAAGTTCTGGAAATTTCTTTTCAGAAACACCTCTTTTTAATTTTAGGTTTTTTTGATACACGAGAAAATGATGATAAGAAAACAACCTTAAGAAGATGTTTTACCAGAAGATGGTTTAAGTGGAATTTTCGATTTATTTTCAATAACTTTTCTTGAAACAATAATACGACTAGTATTACTTTTACTGTTAAGTATTTCTATTTTTTTAATTCATTTTGTTGCTTTTTATATTATGCAAAAATAGGTCATCAAAAAACTATTGAAGCTAAGGACTGCAGCTCTTCCCATTTAAAGATATTTGGGAAGCAGTTAGAGACCAAAGAAATAAGGTACCTTGGCACAAAATGATATGGTTTTCTCTTCATATTTCAAAGTTCAGTATGATATATTGGATGGTTATTCTGGACAGACTCCCAACTCAGGAGAGACTGTCTCGAATGGGAATTATCACTGATGGTCTATGCGTCTTATGCAACAAGACTATCGAAACAAGGAATCATTTGTTTGCTGATTATAATTTTGTAAAATCTCTGTGAAAATCTATCTTACATCTTATACACTTGCGTAAACCCTACATGTCTTGGGAAGCAATGATAGATAGGGCTTGTGATGATTGGAAGGACAAATCTCTTCTTTCCACCATTTTGAAGATAGTTTGATCTTTGTCCATCTACTCCATTTGAGAGGAAAGAAATAGAAAAATCTTTCAATGAGGGTCTAGAAATGTAGAATAAATTTTGAAGACCATCAAAGAGTTTATATGAATTCAACTCAGAGACAAGAACATTAATATAATTGATAATGTTAACTTTACCCCTTTGGATAATAAATTTTTAACTTATCCAAAAAAAAAATAGGTCATAGAACGAAGAATAGTATCACTATTATTTTTTCATGCCTCACAGTTCTTAGCAGGGTGTCATGGTTTCTAGGAAGATCCAATGAAAGAAATCTCTTTAGCATTTTCTAAATGTTTAAATTAAATATTTTTAGTAGTTGTTTATATTTCTTTAATCATTAATAATGCAGTCTATAAAAATAGTTGCTCGAATGAGCATAGACCAACGATATTTATTTTCAATTATTAATAAAAAAATACTCTTCTATTAAATTGATATCATGTAAAATAAAAATATATCTTATTAGTCATTAAAATAATTGATAAAATATAATTTCATTGAGACGAAATAAAATGTGTATTGAATAGAATTCTTTTAATTATGTTACAGTATGTCGAAATTGTTTATAATTTTTTTAGTTAATGTAGTGAGGAAAAGAATTTGTTCATACAAGGGATAAAAAAATATTTCTTCAACTAGTGTGTTTGTTATAGCATTCACGTTGTCTTAACAACTAAATTTTTCAACACTTTTACATGATTTTTTTAAACCATAATCTTAACAAAATTATCAAATATTATTAATGTATTTCTACACCTATAATAAAATTATGAAAAAAAAAATATTTTCTGTTCGAATATTATTACGGTCTGTAACTGTTATAGACTCGTTTAAACCCATCAAGAATTGCATGGTCAAATCCTTTTTCTTGTTCATCTAACATGTTTCAAACACCACCATAACCACATTGTAAGCAAGTACAAATAGGTTTAACAGAAACTAATTCATCCCATATAATTTTGAGTTGTTCGTAGTAATTGCTTACTGTTATAAACCCTTGAACCAACTCTCCTTGCTTCTTCCTGAGGGAAAAAAATTCTTGGTCCATTTGTTTGCTGAAAATAATCTTTAAGATCTTTCTAAATATCAACAGCAGTCGAGTGATATAAAAGACTCATGAAAAGAGGGCTCGTTCGTTTATATTCGTTTATGTATTAAACGAACGAACATGACCAAGACTTTGTGTTCGTTTAATTAAATGAACGAACACGAACAGAGAGATCGTTCATTCATTTACGTTCTTGAACAATCGGTAATATGTTCGTTTATATGCGTTCATTTATGTTTAGCCCAATCTCTCTAGGCCCATTCAAAATATTAAAACACAATAAATTTTAATCTGATGCACATAAATATTTTAAAATTCAATTAATTTTAAATATAAAAAAATCCAAAACAGCTAAATAAAATATAATCATAAAATTGTTAGGAAAGAAAAAAATATTTTCATTTATATTTGTTTACGTTTGTTTATGTTCATTTATTGTGTCGATTTACGTTTGTTCGTTTGTGTTTGTTAGCGTTCGTTTATGTTCGTTTACATCCGTTCGTTTATCATTTAAATGAACGAACATGAATGAACACGAATAAGCTATATTCCTTAACGAACGAACACCAACAATAAATTTTTTGTTCGTTTATATTCGTGTTCGGTTAAAGTTAAACGAACGTACATGAACATATCTCGTTCGTGTTCATTCGGTTTGTTTACATGCCTAACAATGTCTCTTGAAACTAAATTCAAGATCCAAGAATTAACAAGATTATTGGTTCTTGTCCAAACATTAAACATGTCAAGTGAAGCGGGATCTGGGGCAGGAATGGATACATCAATGAATCTCAATTTTTTTAAGCTGATAAAGCCATCAGCATCTTCCAACTGTTGTAATTGGCGTTGGCGAGGGGCAGGGTAACCAAGATCATATTAAGATTGTCAGACTGATGCCAGTAGTAACCATTATTGTCATGATCGAATTCATCAGTAATCTCAACAATGTTAGAGCGAAGAATCGAAGAATTAGAGAAAAAAAAAGGACTTGGGAAAAATTGACATTCTAAATTTTCCTAAGTTGTTTTTTGATATTTTCTAATTTATACTTTTTTTTTCTTTCACTTTATAGTTTTATTGGTTTGATCCTATCATTTTCACTTATTACCAATATTTTAATGTTTGGATAAACAATAAAGTATAATAAAATAAAAGGATGGTTGAGAGAATATATTGTTAACAAATAATTTACTGGGTGTCAGAAAAAATGACGAATTTAGAAAAAATTATGAGCTAGATCAATATAAATATAATAAAAAATCCATCTAATATTATTAATATATATTTTAAATTTAAAAATATTATAACAACTACATTTATATTTTAGATTAAATCTAAAAAAATTAACTGAAGCAATATAATTTGAGCAATATATTAATTTTTTAACATAATTTATACAGATTTTTATTTAGGATAAACTACCTATTTTACCTACCTATTACTTAATCTATGTTTTGGTAATTCAACAACTATTTTTTTAATCAAAATCATACATAATATTACGTTTGGATTTTGTTTTAGTTATATACTGTTAAAAAATTAACAATGACACTATCATGATATTTTTTTATTTTTTTTTTCAAACATGCGACATTATCTTATGATAACATATTAACATCGTCATTAATTTTTAAAAGACGAGTGACCAAAACACAACTAAAATATAACATATATATGATTTAAAATAAATAATAGTTGAATGTTCAAAACAGAAATTAAATAATAAATGGGTGCCTAAAGAGTAATTTGCCTTATTTTTTGGCATAGGGTGGGCTGTGGCCTAGGCCTAAATAGACCACTGATGAGAGACGATAGAGAATGATGAGGAATAAGTAATTTGGAACCAGAATGAATAGTTTAGAAGAAAAAAAACAGATTAATAAAAGTTTTAATTATAAAAATTAAATTATTTTAAATTAAATTTAAATTAATAAAATCTTTAAATTTTAGAAACTAAAACTATTAATTGAATGACTCAATTAATAAACAGGGAACAAGCAACTAACAATGTCAACAAAAACATCCACCAAATACCACAACAATACAATAAATTAAATTATAAACAAACTAAGTCCTTCCTTGAATCACTCTCCACTTAAAACAAACATTTGTATCAATAACACCAAATTTCACATTTGAAAAAAAAACTAAACAGTTTTAGATCAACATTATTTCTTGAACACAAATTATCTATGACACTGTTATTGCTTTCTTTTTCTCTTTTTAAAAAAGAGACCAACATACAATTGCTAAATCCTTACCTTACATGGTGCCTTGTTCTCCTTGCTTTCTTGTGATCAATAACGTTATTAATCTTAAAATGCCGAGATTTGGGTGGAATCTTGAGGTCGTTTTGAGGCAAATCCAGGACCAGGTCAACAAAGCACTCAATATGAACTTGTGAGACTTCTTGCCATTCAAGGTCAAGTAACAAAACACAAGCTCTTCCATGAAATCCCAATCGATTTCCGA